CACTGTTAGTCACAACACCCGGGAATTACTGTAACTAAAGCTACAGGTATACAACATCCAGTACACAACACCAAGATGTATATTACACATCTACACTACATACTACTACTACTCTCTGTGTCTCGGTCAGTAGACCAACCCCCGAAAGCCTCTACAGGTACGTTCTCCGGGTACTACATGACCAGGTTACTCTCTACACGAGTCATCCTCTACCCTCCACCAGCTCAATAACTGCGCCATTGTCAAATTGAAATTGAAAGTGTATACTTTGTTGAATCACTGGAAGCTGCCTTTCACTGTGGTTGTCAAGACTTCCTGCTCGCCACGGACCGGTAAGAGAATAAGCCCGGGGACAGGAAACTTGGCGAGTGTGTGAGAAGGGAACACTGGTACTGTACTTGGGCTTGTTGGCTGCACAGTAGTGATGGAGACTCGCGTCATCCACCACTGACCCGGGACGCGGTACCCCAGGACCCGGTATCCCAGCACCCGGGACCCGGTATCCCAGCACTGACCGGGACCCGGTATCCCAACATCAGGATGATGGCACCCATAACCAGTAAGCCTTATGCGTCATAACTCCAGCATGTCCCTCGCACCAAGCATCCTTGTGTTACCATCTCTGGGTTTCCCCCGGTGCTGACTCACTCGGGTAATCAATGGCGCTGGAAACGATCTAATTACTTTACACAGCCTTACGGTCCCTCCCAAGACTGTCTGCGTGTTGACCAATACAACGTTGCACTCTCTTAGAGCAACGAACCTCAACTCGCCATCACCCAAGACGTCCCCCATAGTTCGAGACTCGACATACTTATGTACGAAGACGGGCAACCTTGTCAGTGGCGACCTCCAGAACCCTTAACAATCTCCCAAGTCTCTTTCCTGATAGCTGAAGTTCCATCTAAGAAAAATAAGGCTGAAATCGGCCTTGGGAAGTAGGACTCTTGGAACTCTATACAACGTTGTTGACGAGATTCTATACAAGACTGGAAACCACCTGACTGGAAAGAGTTAGTGTGTCACTGGAAGAGAGGTGGTGAGAGGTGTACAAACTTATCACCAAGGTAACAGTGGCCCCCAGGCCGGGCTTTGGGAGTAAAGGTGAAAAATGATTCACAAACCTACCACAAGGAAGGATAGTAGGTTCATGTTACTATACTCAGACGACGCTCATCTCACGAGGGCATGATACAAAGTGCGGCAGGAGCAACAGGGAGGACATAAACAGGCTACAAGAGGAGCCACATTAATTGTCAGTGGGAAGTTTGCCTTCAGCAAATGCAAATACATTGAAATGAGGGCGGGTGGAAGGTGACCAGATGAGCACCATAACATGAGAGGAAGGCAGCGAGATAGCACACACAGATCAACATGAGAGGAAGGCAGCGAGATAACACACACAGATCAACATAACATGAGAGGAAGGCAGCGAGATAGCACACACAGATCAACATGAGAGGAAGGCAGCGAGATAACACACACAGATCAACATGAGAGGAAGGCAGCGAGATAACACACACAGATCAACATAACATGAGAGGAAGGCAGCGAGATAGCACACACAGATCAACATGAGAGGAAGGCAGCGAGATAACACACACAGATCAACATGAGAGGAAGGCAGCGAGATAGCACACACACATCAACATAACATGAGAGGAAGGCAGCGAGATAACACACACACATCAACATAACATGAGAGAAAGGCAGCGAGATAACACACACACACTGTAACACCCATGACCCCCCCCCCCTTAGAGTTCACACCCAGGGAAGCCTTCTCCAAGAGGTCAGCCCAGATGACCTCTGGATTATCTTGTATGTTGATTAAAAAATTCCTGGGTTAGTCAGCTAGTTTCAAGTATGTAATATTTCATGATACTCTTGTCAAACATTGTAATGGAATTAGACCCCAGATTCTTATGTGTAAACATCCATGGATCTTCCCCCTTTTAGCCAGGTCAAAAGTCAGTTACACACGTAATTAATAATTCCTCTTTTGAACAGTGTATGGTGAATGTCAAACAAGCTTAATGGAAAAATTCTTGAGTGTTTGTGCACGTGTGGCCGACCTCTTACAATTTTGGTGTAGGTAGCAACAGCAAATCTCCCCCTCCCCCCCCCTTTTGGGGTGTATATATTGGTCCTGTAGAGACTTAGAGACAGAGTGCCGGACACCGGGGTCAGGAGGGGATCTGTGAGAACATCGCACAGCCAGGGAGGGACAGAGTGAATCCACCGGAGGGAGAGACAGAGGTCTTAAGGTAAAGTGTGATCTCTGAGGGTTTTGTTCCATGTCTAAATTTCTTAACTATTGGCCAGTGTTAGAGTAGGATTTATAGTGGTGATTAGCATAATTTTGTTCTCAATAAACTTTTGTTAAATTTCCCGTCTGTGTCAATTGTTGAATCCTCTTAGCCTTTTGGATATAGTGGGCTGACAACCGTCCCATAATTAATGACAGTTATAGAAAGTACTCTCCAAGTTAAGCAATGTTTCTTGCCTCGTTGCTTGATATAGTCTCAATGGTCAAGGCAGATTGTGGCAGCAATTTTTTAATCCTGTGTAGCATTTCCTTGTTGGCAGTGTACCTTTTGGTTCCGGTGTAACCATCTTATGTCAGCTCATATTACAGTGTTCAATAACAGTGTTACCAAGTGCAACCGATAGGAAGTGTTACTCAGTATAAGTAGTAGTGTTATATATATTATTTAGTTTATATTTTATAGTGGTGTTACATCCCTTTGAGATGTATTTATTGCTTATCTCAATAAACATACTTGAACTTGATGTGGCTGGTTAGCACGAGGCTAGAGAGAGAGAGCTCAGAGTTTGATGATGACAGTTAACTAAACTTAACATTTTAAGAAAGCGAGAAGAAGTCTTAACATGTTTCTTCAGAGACATAAGAGAATGATTTACCTGTAGAAGGAAATTAGTGGCAGGATTTGACAGCAGTATTCAGCTGCTGAACTGACTGGACCAAGAACTGGTCCAGTCAGTTCAGCTTCTGGGAATGACGCTCTCACCTGAGGATCCCACTGGAATCACTAGCCAAGATAACATCCTTAAATCAGAAATATGAGGATTGGGACAAGCTCTATTTTCCTCCGTCACCAAAATCTTAATTCAATAAACAGTTTCACAAGAGGGAAAGATTAAAAAAAAATAAGGGAAAGAAGTCATTGCATTGGGAAACCAATAGCTGGTATACTGTGGGTCCAAGAGCTTGAGACTGACCCTGCGATCATAGTTGAGGGAGTACACCCCACCGGCTCTCTGCCCACCACACACACTACACCCCAGACACACACACACGGCCCCAACTATCACACACCTGCTACTGACATTCTCAACTACTGATGAATCATACTTCACCAGTGAAATCAATTCATTACTTCAACATATGGCCACCAGCGGGAGTGGAGGGGGGGAGAGGAGGGGAGGGGGAGGAGGGAAGGGCAGGGAAGGAGGTAGTGGAGGGAGGGAAGAAAAGAAGGTAAGAGAGGAAGAAATGAAGAAGTCGAGAAACTGAGGGAGAAAGGAAACCAAGGAATGGGGAGGAATGGGGGGGCGGGAGGATGGGGGGGGGGGACTCCGGAGGTTAAATGAATCAGTGGTGTGGTGGCTGAGGGGTGACTGATGCACGATGATCACCCGTTGCATACGATACTCGACAGGTCTTCACGGGAGACTACCCGTCAGCTGCAGCTAATAGTATGGTTTGAAATTTGAAATTTATAAAACCGCTTTCGGAAATTACAGGCAATATTACGGGTAAAGGCTCCCACAACTGCGATTAAAACTGTACGATAAGGTCGATAAGAGCCGTTATGGGGCAACACGAGGCCCATCGCGCTAAGCATTCCAACAAATACAACACTAAACTGTAAGTGAAGGTGCATGACAACAGCATGCAGTCGTCAATGCTGCTAGAAATAGCAGGAGATTATGAGTGATGTAGACTGGGCCAGTGAGGCACGTGTGGACCTCCTGCAAATGTGAACAGTAATTTAGTATACAATAAAATGACACCGAAATGTGAGAGAATGGGTATACTCTCCCCAGGTTGTGAAGTTTCTTACCCACACACCAGGCTAACACCATAGCCCGTGCTTCTTGCCCAGCTCCTATGCCAGGTAAGTTGCGGGCTCACCATAGCCCGTGCTACTTGCAACTTGTTCCGAGTAGCTGAATCTATAACATACCCACACACTTCCCATCCCTCTCCACTCTTCCATCGTCTACCTTTCCATCTCCTCCTTCCCCTTCCCCCGAGGAGTTTCACCAGTTGACGCTCCCCCACACACTGAGAGCGGACTACCCTACCCCTACGAAGTGTGCCTTTTCGGAACCCGTGTGTAAATACATTCACTAAGTCAATGACTGAAATACAAGCCTTGGCACCTCGACGACCCTCACCACCATCTCTCACAACAACATCGCCAGTGATCGCTCCATTCTCATCTTGTAATGCAGCATGCAGTCCTTGCTACACGATCTATGATAAAATAATACTTAAATTCTCACATCCAATACAAAAATCTATACCACGTAGCCACGTGGCCCCAAGCACTGGGTCAAGCTTTAACACACACCAACTGTTATTATTATTATTATTATTATTATTATTATTATTATTATTATTATTATTATTATTATTGTTATTGTTATTGTTATTATTATTAAGAATAAATCGACAAGAGCCTTGATGAGGGTTCGAACCCATGCGCTGGATGTTCCCAGACGTCCTCTAGTCAACTTCACCACCACATGGTCTCAAGGCCCTTGTGGATCTGTTCATTTGATACATCAAGCTATTGTGATTTATGCGTGTATTATTATTATTCGGAGAGGTGGTGGTGATTATCAGGAGAAAGCGCCAAGCCAGTACGACTGTACAGCACTGGGAAGGGGTCAGGATAAGGATTTGGGATGGGACGGCGGGAAAGGAATCAGTGAGGAAATCCGTAGGAGATTCTCCTGCGGATTCTCCG